GAACTGCAGCTAGCAGTCAGCTGAAGTGGCCTGCAGTACTGTACTCTAACCACTGCGCCACCTCGGCTCTAGTTGGCCTACTGGTTGGCCTACTGGGAGTCGAAAAGCTCAATAAATCGCATGCCAGCGGGAGGCGGTTGTGACATATATTTTGAGTGGCAGGGAGCCGCAGCACAGAGATGAAAGAGCCACATGCGGCTCCCGGGTTTGGCTGACCCTTGGGCTAAGCCATGAAGAAAGCTGGTGGACTCCCAAGAGAACAAAGGGAGTAAACAAGGGGGAAGGAAGTCAAGGAAGATACTTGGAGGTAACGGAGATAGGGATGGGAGGAAGACTACCTCGTCTTTGCCCAGGAGAACTTTGGTGGTCCACAAAGGCCGGTTGACCCCGTCAGGGACTGCCTCAGGCTCCACGGAGACCAGAGTCCCCATCTTTCCGTACTGGGTCACCACCACCAGGATCGTGGCTCCAAAGGCGGTGCACACCACCTCTGTCGGGACGCCACACACGACTTCTCTGGTTTGCTTTGAGAGCGGGATGGGCTTGGTCTCCATGGCAGGAATCGGTCCTTGCCCTACAGGAAAGCATCAGTAAGGAGGATGCAACACCTCAAGAGGCTTCCCGGCCAACTTCTCCGTAAGAGAAGGCTGGAGCTCCTGCTTCGTGGGCAGACGGTCCTCGAGGTGGACCCTGGTTCTTCCCAGTCCACTTGTCAGTAAGCAGGCCGTGAGAAAGTTTGCTTGGCGAGGAAATCTTAACCTTAAGCCAGAACTGTTTCAAGCATCCCTCTCTAAGGGGCCTGGTCTGGATTTCCTTCCTTCCGGTTTCCAACTTTCACCTACCTCTCCTGCCTTCCTTCCCTCCCTCATTCTCTCCATCTCTCCTTCATTCTTTCATCCATCTCTCCTTCCTCCCTCCTACTCCCCTCCCTCCCTCCCTCACACTCTCCATCTCCCCTTCATTTTTTCATCCATCTCTCCTTTCTCCTACTCCCCTCCCTCCCACTCTCCATCTCTCCTTCATTCTTTCATCCANCACCCACCTCGGAAGGATGGAAGGCTGAGTCAACCTTGAGCCAGTGAGATTTGAACCGCCGAACTGCAGATAACAGTCAGCTGAAGTGGCCTGCACCCTAACCACTGCGCCACCTCGGCTCTTTACTTTAGAATAATCTGAAGCCAAAGTGAAAAGTAAGCAATACATGTGTAAGTTTATTAATAATGATACATAATCAAGAAGAAAATGCAGCCTGAAAAATGGCCGTCTCCCAACCAAAGGGGCTGGAAGAGAAATATCAAACGCAATTTATTTTAAACCAAGATAGTAATATCAGTTGTCGGAGATAGCGATGACTGAGCACTGGTCATTTTTTCTCACAAAACTAAATCTCAGTGTTATTAATGAAGCTGTCCAGGAAGAGATGCATAACTCATCAAAGGAAATAGTTCACACATTGACTCAACTTTCCATGGTGCCCTTTATGGTGCTACTGATGGAACAATGAAAGACGCTTAAGTGATTCTCCGGAGCTCAAGGCCTTGCCATCCTGTGACTGATTCCAGTATTTGTATTGTATTTTGTATTTATTAGTTTTGTATGCCGCTCGCTCTCGGAAGACTACAGTACAGGTAGTTCTCAATTTATGATCAGTTGCTCAGGGACTGCATGAAAATATCATGGATCCCCAAAAAGACACTTATGACCCAGATTCAAAATTATAGCAGCTGCTTCCAAAGGTCATGTGATCACATCTTGGGCCTTCAGGAACAGTCGACAATTATAGCCATTTGCAACGTTCCCCAGTAATACAACGATCATTTATGATGTCTTTGGATTAAAAACTGGTGTTTACGTCCAGTTTCCAGCCCCCCAAAAAATGCCACTGCAGAGAATGAGTTTGCTTTACAGCTGCTGTTAAAAAAAGGTCATACAAATGGGTCAGTCATATGATGGAGCTGTTTAATGATCAGCAAAACCTACAATCATAATTCCGGGCTCAATTATAGTCATAAGTCAAGACAGGGGTGGGTTCCTGCCAGTTCTAAGCTCTTCTATAGAAGAGGTTCCACAAATCTACAGTGCCGTTTAGAACCGGTTCCAGCTGCCTCCCCCCTGCCTGTCTGCACATCATCAAGATGAAGGGCGAGAGGAGGAATTCTGAGAGTTGAAGTCGACAAGTCTTAAAGCTGTCAAGTTTGAAAACCCTTGCACCCGTAACTCTTTAGAACNGAGGGAGTCAAACTATTTTCCTAGGCACCTGAGGGAAGAACAAGAAGCAATGGGTGGAAACTAACCAAGGAGAGAAGCAACCTAGAAGTAACCAGAAAATTCCTGACAGTAAGAACAATTTATCAGTGGAACAACTGGCCTCCAGAAGTTGTGAATTCTCTACCAGTGGAAGTTTTTAAGAACATGTTGGATAGCCATTTGTCTGAAGTGGTGCAGGGTTTCCTGCCTAAGCAGGGAGCTGGACAAGAAGACCTCTAAGGTCCCTTCCAACTTTGTTATTCTAAAGACTTTTGATCATGTTGCTCATGTAGTAATCTGTGGGTATTTTCTGGTGTTTTTTTTTTCTTTGAAGACGTTTCGCTTCTCATCCAAGAAGCTTCTTCAGCTCTGACTGGATGTTGGGCAGTGGAAGGGACATGGTTTTAACAACCATGGGTGACCTGGAATCTCCAAAGACATTAATCTGTGGGGACTCTGTTGCTAAACAAAGCAGAAACTGCAGGTTCTTCAACCAATTTAGGGGGTGGACTATGGAACCTCTGAACTCCATCATCCCATTTTGCACATGGCAACATCAAGATGTTATTCTGCATGTTTTTCTCCCTGTGGTTTCTACATTGCTTCAAACTCAACTCTGGTGAAGGAGGACAGGGTTTTAATCAGATTTCTTTTTAAACTCCAGTAGAATTCAATGTTTACATGAAAAAATGGAAATTTTAAGGATGATCAAAAGGCTGCATCTGTCTAGTTATTTGGATTTGTGTGTTGTTGTTCTTGTTTTAATTTTTCATGATATACAGGCTGCTAATTTATTTCTGCATTTTAATCAAACGAATCCTTTTGTAGATTGTGCTAAAAAGATAGTGGTTTTATTACGTAAAAATAGAGGGAGAGATGGGGGAAAGAGAGAGAGAAAGAGGGAGAGAGGGAAGAAGAAATAATTCTTTTTTAGATGTACAGGTAGAAAAGTCTTCATGGTAAACACCCCATAACCATGATGGTGAACCTATGACACGTGTGCCACAGGTGGCACACAGAGCCACTGGCCAGCTGGTTTTCGGGTATCTGCCGCACATACACAAGGAGCAGGGTGCATGCAGGAGACGTGTGTGCATGCAGATGTGTGCACATGCATGAGGGCAGGGGCGTGTGGGGGTTCACATGCGCATGTGCGGGGGGCATGCTGGCTATTGTACATGCATGTGCAGGGGGCGTATGTGGGGGCTCACAAGTGCATGCACAGGGATGCACAGTGGGGAATCACACAGACATTGCATTATGGGTGTACACATGCACTTCCGGCATTTGGCGCCGAAAAGGTTAGCCATCCCTGCCCTATAAGCTCTGAAAGAAAGACCTTTCATTTGAAGGACTCCAGCAGTGGTGGGTTCCGGATCTCGGTTGGAACGGGCCCGGCGGCGTCCACATAAACACGCACAGCGTGCACATACGCATGCATCTTAGTGCCTCTGCAAGCCTCAGCGACGCTCCAGCTACTCAGCGAAGCGTCGTGCAGGCGCTCTACACGCCGTACACATGCGTGGAAGNGGTCCGCGGGATTTAAAATTATGAATTTAGTGGTCCCTGAAGTCCGAAAGGTTGGTGAACGCTGGTGAAAATTCTCTTGATCTGTTGAAGGACAGATGTCCAGGGAGCCAAGAAGGAAAGCAAGCAGAGAGGAGACAGAGCCATCTAGAACTACAAGGCCACCCAGGTGACTTCAGAAGCATCCATCTTGCCGGAGTGTCCCCCTCTTCTCCTCCTGCCACCATCGCTCCCCCGTCCCCCAGTCAATACCTCTCTCTCTCTCCAATGGGAAAGTTAATAAATTTAGCTCTAGATTAAAAGTATTGATCATTTCATTTGTAAATGATATATAAATTGGGGACTACTTGGGCACCCAGGAAGGCAAGGGCTGTCTCAGACTGCAAATGGGTGGGTGGGGGCAGACGGAGGCACCCTTATCTGCATTCCACCCGGGTGTAAGAATTGATTTCCTATTAGTCTCCTTGCACCACCCAATAGCACATCATTCCAAGATCTGCTATTAATGGCCTTTTGATAAATAATCACTTGTAAGTCAATAAATTTTTATTAAAGAGTGGGGTACTTTGATTTATGAAAATCCGACGGGGTTTGTCTGGAAGAAAAGGGATGTGGAATTGAAGCGGAAGAACCATCCATCCGGCTGCCAAAATCTCTCTTCCCCCCCTCTTGCACACAAACTCACTCCACATCCCCTCGGATCATCTACTCGATTTTCACTGCCCATCACGTAAAGATCCCAGCTGTGCTTCCTGAGCAAAATTACAGCCTAGCAAAGTGGAGCTTGGCAACTGGAGGAATGGTTGAGTACGGATTCAAAATTAAGTAACTGGAAATAAGAAAATGCCGATAGAAGAGAACATGTGTAGCTTGGGGTTGAAATGAGGGATCCTTGGTGCTCTCTGAGCTTGGTGGTTTTCTTGAAGATATTTCATCACCAAACTAGGTAACATCATCAGTGATAGAAGGGAGTGGGGTTTGTGGAGAGGAGAAGGAGGAGGAAGATGAGGAAAAGGAGGAGGATGAGGAAGTGGGGAAGAGGAAGAAGAAGAGGAGGAAGGAGGAGGAGAAGAAGAGGAGGAAAAAGAGGAAGTAAAGAGGAGGAGGAGGAGGAGGGGAAGAGGAAAAAGAGAAGGAGGGGGAAAGTGGAGGAGGAGTGGAAAAGAAAGAGGAAGAAGAGGAGGAGGAGGAGGAGGGGAAGAGGAAAAAGAGAAGGAGGAGGGGGAAAGTGGAGGAGGAGTGGAAAAGAAAGAGGAAGAAGAGGAGGAGGAGGAGGAAAAGAAGGTGGGGAAGAGGAGGAGGAGGAAGAAGGAGAAGAAGGAGAAGGAGAAGGAGAAGAAGAAGAAGAAGAAGAAGAAGAAGAAGAAG